GCTGTCCTAGTGCAACGATGGCAACCCCAGAGCCAGAGGCTTGAAGGAGGAGGCCGGCTGCTGAGGTGAGAACAGTGGGCAGGGCAGGAAAAAGATGGAGATTCTGAGAGAGCTCCCTAGCTTCCCACAAGCCTTGCCGGGGCTCCTGGGGATTGCAGTCTGCTGCAGTTTCAGTGGTTGCTTCACACCCTGGAATTCACAACCCACAATTACGTGCAGGTCAAACATTAGCTTTTAAAACCATGAATTACAGTGTTTACTTAGTTTTTAACTGGTTGGATATAAGGTGAATTCGCATTTAAACCTACCCATCCTCTATTTCCTGATACTGTGAGAGAGCCCCCATGTCTGGTGCTATCACAGTGTACTGTGGGTGAATTGTGTGTTAGCAGAGAAACTCAAGCCCAGTCTTGGTTGTAACCTCCAAATAAAACCCTGACAGCCCTGAGCATTCCTGCTGTGCCAGGTTCATTATGTTCTGAGTTTTAGCAAGCAATCCCAAAGGTTTAATCCTCACACTGCCCCCTTCCCATTCTTCATGACATGTCTTCCTTCCACTGACAAATACTTATGGGACATCTTTGATGTACCTGCCGCTGTGATTGGAATTGAGATGAGCAGTGTCCGAAGAATGCACAAGCCCAAAAGGGTTGCATCCATCCTTACAGTGGTCAAAAGGGTTTGTGCCACGGTCTTTACAATGGTGAAACTGTCAGTGGATCTGGACAGAGTACAGGAAAAGACAGAATGAGGTTGAAACAGTTACAGTGAGTTGACCTCCTTCATGTTAAGGAGTTGGGATTCCACAGCCATTAGTGGGATTCAAAGGTTTTTGAGTTAAAAAGTGACTTCAGTTGGATGTGGTAGTATAGGCCTTTAATGGGGGGTGGGGTGCGGGGGCAGTAGAGAATCAGGTGGATCTTTGTGAATTTGAGGCCAGCCTGGTCTACATAGCAAGTTCCAAGTCAACCAGGGATATGAATTGAGACTCTTCCTTGAAACAAAAACAAAAACAAGACAAACAAACAAACAAAAACAAATCTCAAGCTGGGCTATAGTTCTATTGGTAGAGTGCGTGTCTAGCATGCATGAAGCCTGAGTCCAGCACTGCATAAACCAGGTGTGTGGTGCACACCTGTAATCCAGAATTTGGGATGTGGAGGCAAGAGGACCAGAAGTTTAAGGTCATCCTTGACTATACAAGCAGGTTTGAGGCCTGCCTGGAGTAGGTCCTTAGTAAATGGTGTAATGGTGATGGTACGAACAATGGCTCAGAAGATTTAGAAGGCCAGACCAGTCTGGGACTCTTGCTTGCCTGTTGAACATGAGCCTGGAGCCATATGTAGGGGACAAGGGACCCTGACCCTTCTTTCTACATTTTTATCCCAAGGAACATGAAGTGTAACGACAGACAGTCATTAACAGGAAAAGGAGTCATATGAAAGTACAAGCAACTTGAATTTCTGGAAGAGGGTGAGACAGTCTGCTTCATCTCAGGAGACAGGGCCAATTATTTCTTGTGTGTGTTCTATGAAAACTTCTGTTTTTTGAGTAGTAGCCGACGGCCTACTCTATGAACTCATGTATGTATACAAACTATGTGCACTGCTCGTCTTCTGGAATGGAGGATGGGGGAACTGGAAAAAGGATAATCACAAAAGACGAGGCAAGACACCTCCGTTGGCATGCTTCTGCATGATTGTCACCAAGATCTGTGCCTCCTGGCCAAGCCCACCTCCTGGAAACTACAGATGCTTTGAAGAAAGCCTAATCAGAAGTGGTTTTCAGACCCGTAGGAACCAGCGGGATGAAAACAGCCTGTGCAGACCCGTAGGGTATCTTTGAGCAAAGCTACTTTATCTTCATTCAGAAATGGTACCTAGAATACAGCAAATGGCTTTCCATACACACTGGGAAGCAAGGGAGCTTCTCAGCTTAACACAGAGATTTTTTTTTTTTTTAACCTGGGGGAAGCAGAAATTTAGCTTCCTGTGTATTTTTTTTTTCTACAAAGAAGATTCATAGCTCTTTATCCCAGAGGCTTCAGGACTCTCAAAGATTTTTAAAATAGCTGCTGTCTTAAAAGCAGGGGCAGGGGTGCACTGCTGGGCACAATGACAAATGCCAGTAATCTCAGCTCTGGGAAGATGGAGGAGATGGGATCTTGAAAACAAACAGTATACAATTTTTGCCTTTGTGGATCTGAACTTGGTGACAGTGTTTTATATCTGTTGTTTGCCTGCTCACCTGTGCCTGTTATTCTGACTGCTAGTTAATAATGCTGTAGTGAAACCATTTCCTGTGCCTTTTGAAACCTAGCTAAAACTGTAGTGACTTAGAGAACTAAACAGTAGGATCTGTGAAGAGCCCAAAGGCTGATCCGAGCCTAGGCTATGGTGGCAGGATGCAACCAAGGGAAGGTGTTGACTAATGAACCTACCAGGGTATAAGACATTGGTTTTGTCTTCAGCTGTAACTTAAACCTGAGTGAGTATTACGTGTCAAGTGAGGACCTCAGAGATTTCAGATGTGGTGAACGGAGAAATGCCATCTTAACTGAAAAGTAATGCATTAAAAATTGTTATACATGTTTTTAAGACAAAGCTTCATTAGCCCAGGCTGGCCTCTCTATTAGGATGACTTTGAACTTCTGGCCTCCCACCTCTATCTCCTGAGTACGAGTATTACAGGCATGTGACACTATACTTGGTTTATGTGTTAGTGGGGTTAAGCCCAAGGCATCATGCATGCTATAAAAACACTCTTCTAATAAAGTTAGACCAATTGGTTTCTCTGTCTGTCTCTGTCCCTCTCTCTTTCTCTCTTTCTCTCTCTCTCTCTCTCTCTCTCTCTCTCTCTCTCTCTCTCTGTGTGTGTGTGTGTGTGTCTGTGTCTGTGTCTGTGTCTGTGTCTGTGTATATGTCTGATTTTTAGAGGCATGGATTCTCTGTGTAGTTCTGGCTGTCCTGGAACTAACTCTGTAGACCAGACTGGCCTTGAACTCACAGAGATCCACCTGGGATCAAAGGCATGCACCAACAACACCGAGCCTCCAATTGACTTTCATTTGTTCAGTATTTAATGCTGTATGGTCATGTGTGGAGCCCCAGATCAGGCATGTGTAAAGCCACCTCGGCCACAGTTCAGACCTATGTGGGCAAACCCAGGGTAGAAACACTGAGGGCAGGTACTGAAACTGCTGTCCATTATAAATTATAAAATATTCCATCATGGCCCACCAAAAGACAGGTTTTGGACACTCTGTAAGTGACAAGTTCTCAGAAAGACTGAGGGAGGTTACTAGTTACTGAGGCCACCTGCCCATCAGCCACCATGTCAAGACCTTTTTCTCTCTTCCAAGTACCATTTTGGAGATCCACATACATAAGATTTTAAAAACTGCACACAGTGAGACTGGAGAGGTGGCTCAGAAGTTAGGCACTTGGTGCTTTTATAGAGAACCCAGGTTTGATTCCCAGCACCCACATGATGGTTCATAACTATCCATGACTCCAGTTCCAGGGGATCCAATGCCCTCTTCTCACCTCCCCAGCCACCAAACATACATACATGTAGGCAAAACACACAACAGTAAAATAAGTAAATCTAAGAAAAAATTTTAAATTACAGAGTTGCTATTAAAAACACTGCATAAGGTTAATTTTTTAAAAGGTTGCAAAAGCAGAAACAGATTCTAGCTCACACATGTAGAAGAGGAAAAGGGCAGGTAGCTTCTGGGGGACAGAAGAACAGGGACAGCATTGCAGTCTGCTCAGGTCACATGACAGTGACTCAGGTCACTAATGTTACCCTCAATGACCACCTCATGCAGAAAAGGATAAGTCCATCTGTAACTTGACCCACTCACCATCTGTTGTCAAGGAAGGGATTACTGGTGGTCCCCGAATGAAGAAAAAAGAACCCAGCAACTGGATATCTCTAAAATCAGCCAACCGGCCAGCAAAGTCTACACTAGTGAGGAAAAATAATTCCTCAAGGAAATTGAAGTACCTTAAATAAAAGTAGGCAAACTGCATACCAGATAACTAAAAACAGCAGATTTACCCCCAAAAGCATATCTGTCCATCTCCAAAGGCGTGACCTTGCCCACTACATCAGTGTACCTCCTGAGTGTGATTAGGCTGGAACTCTTCTACCTTAATGCTAAGAGTAGAGGAGTAGAGTTAATTGCGCAAGAACAAAAGTTAGGTGTTTGTTTTGAGACAGTATCTCATAGGGTTGCCATAGCTGGCCTGGAACTATCTATGAAGAAAAATGTGACCTTAAACTCAAAAAAATTCACCTACTTCTGCCTCCCAAATGGGATGAAGGGTACGGGTTTTTTTTTTTTTTTTTTTTTTTTTTTTTTTGTGTGTGTGTGTGTGTGTGTGTGTGTGTTTTCCAGACAGGCTTTCTCTTTGTAGCTCTGGGTGTCCTAGAACTAGCTCTGTAGACCAAACTGGCCTCAAACTCAGAGATCTTCCTTCCTCTGCCTCCTGAGTGCTGGGATTAAAGGTGTCCCCCACCTCTACCTGGCAAAGAGTGTTTTATGTTGCACTGTGACTCTAAATTTGAAGCACTTCTCTTTCTGGCCAGTAAACTTTGTTCTGAGCTAAGAATGACTGAATGGCCCCATGATCCAGTGGTCTAATCCCTGTTCCATTCACAATCTATATGATCTTGGGCACGGTGGGCAACTTCAGTGAGCCTCATTTTCTTTCAATGGACTAAGTATCTAAAACCCACAATTTTAGCACCAGCTCAATGTAATCTGGTACTGAACATACATATGTGTAGAGTCTTTTCACATAAATAAGGCTCTCAGTAAATATTCTATCCACCTATACCTTCTCTCAACATACAAAAAAGTTTATGTGTGTGTTGTGTGTGTGTGTGTGTGTGTGTGTGTGTGTGTGTGTGTATTTAGTTTTCAAAAGACTCAATGATTTATTTCTTATGATAGGTGTAGTCTTTCTGATGGAAGAATACTAGGTCATTTCATGATGGCATTTGCACCTCCAAAAAGCATTGATGGTTCCAAAATGCAGACAAAGATGAGCACCTGGACACCCCTAAACCACCGACTTCTGAATGACCAGGTGAGTAGTCAGAAGTATTTTATCATTTGGGTCCGTCAGGGGGAAAAAAGGTAAAATTCTGATATATAATTCTATATATAATTATAATAATATATATTCTTATAATCAGAATATAAACAGGAATTTTTTAGGATGGTACAATCTATGAACAAAAGACAAAACACAAGTTTTATTTAAAAACAACTTTGTGTCTTTGCTATATGGGCAAGACAAAAAAATAGATCAGAGTTCTGCCCCAGGGAAAAGTCGTTGTTCTTTCCTGCATTAGCTAGCTATTCCTGGTGTGTCTTCTTTCTCCCATCGATGGTTCTCCTTGGAGCCAACAGAATTTGAGGAGGAGAAGAAAGATGTCTAGGAGGGGTTCCCCTCAAAAACCAATCCCCGAGTTTCTGGATAAACTTGAGGTCACTTAGTGAATAAATATCAGCCAAGTGCTCATGGTACTGGCATTTTCCTAAAAAGTCTATTTCCCAGTTTAATTCTGGGGAGATGCAAGTAAAATACACCCAGCAAAGGATTGCAAGCAAGTGGCTGGGGTGTGAGAATGGCAGACCTATGGGATATTGTATTCCTGCTTCTACGAGTTGCAGAACTCTGATCAGTCCTTGAACATCAGGACCACACCCAATTGGCAACAAAACACAATCAGTTTCATTGTGTAAAACTAACTTCACTGTCTTCCCTCTCCACACCAGTCCTTCCTCCAGGTGAGAACCCCCACTTTATACCATCACCGGGCCATAAAATCTCACCTTTCCCTGTCAGGTGTTGCATTGGATTCTTCACCCCAATTTACAGGCTAATAAGTAAACCTGTTGCCAGAGGAACAAAAGACAGTACTATCTCACAGTGAAGGACAAAGGGATCTGGGCAGGGACAAAGAACTTCTGCTCACAGCAGAGCTGTCAGGATGAGCGTTATGTGTCAATCCTAAACACTGACTCTCCTGGTTGACCTCAACCAGCCGAGTGATGCCCCCATCACGTAGAGAAATGCCTAGCACACGGTGGGTTTCCTGGCAGCTGAAGACCAATGAGCACAGAGAATCTAATACTTCCTAGGAAACAGTAAACATAAACTCCTCCCTCTAGGCTGCCTTCCTGCAATGTAACTTGGAAAACAGGTCCAAGTGAAGAGTGCTGAGGGCCTTCACTTCTCAGCATGCCCAGACTCTTGAGATAGGGAAGCTATAGGGGAATATCTACCTACACACCCTTGTTTCCACACCCCATTTGTTCTCTGGGTCTTTGAGTCTTCTCTCTAGATCTACTCAACCCAGCTCCATGTTCTCAGGTCACTTCCTCACCCACCACCCCTTCCCAGGAGCAGTGCAGTAACTCCCTGGCTGCTGTCACTGCCTCTAACCAGCTTACTTATCCTCTAATAAGGCTCCAGAAAGATCTTTCTGAAATACCAATCCTATTAGGTGAGACTAAAAATGGGATTACTCCAGAGGGCAAATTCCAATGCCCCACGCATCCCTGAGGTCCCTTCAGGTCCTGACCCCCAGCCAACCTCCCGGCTTCCACCTCTGCTGCTACTCCCTGGCACTTGAGGCCACAGCTCCTGTCCTCATCACCTGTGAGCCAGCATCAGTGTCCCCTCTGCAGCACCTTCCCCGCTTCCTGCCTCCTCTCTTCTCTCTCTGCTGTTCCTGGCTTTCCTGTTCAACTTTAGCCCATCTCCCCCACTCTCTGTGAATACACAGGTCTGGGTGAGGACACAAGTTTAGTCCCATGTGGGCCTCTGTCTGTGTGTGTGTGTGTGTGTGTGTGTGTGTGTGTGTGTGTGTGTGTGTACATGTGCTTGCATGAGTGTGAAGGCCAACGGACTTCAGCTGTTATTCCTCAGGTATGATTTTTTTTCTCTGAGACAGGGTTTCTCTGTGGCTTTGGAGGCTGTCCTGGAACTAGCTCTTGTAGACCAGGGTGGTCTCGAACTCACAGAGATCCGCCTGCCTCTGCTTACCAAGTGCTGGAATTAAAGGCATGCACCACCACCGCCCGGCTCTCAGGTATGATTTACCTTGGTTTTTGAGACAGGATCTCTCATAGACTTAGATCTTACTGAGCAGGTGAGGCAGGCTGAGCCCCGGGGATCCACTTGTCTCTGACTCTCCAGCACTGGGATTTAAACACACCACAACTCCTTGTGTTTTTTTTTAGTGTGAGTTCTGGGCATTCAGTTGAAGTCCTTGTATTTGCAACTACGAGTTTCACCAACTGAGCCCTTTCTTAGATACTCATTGACTTTTATCTTAGGGCCCTTCTAGCTCCTTCCTTGGGTGGAGTTGGTCCATCATTTATGTAACAAAATGTTGATCCCTCTTGGCAAAGCCTGTAGTCAAACATGGCTCATCTTAGAACTAGGAACTTTCTCCTATTCTGATGTGAAACAGGTGTAAAGGGGGGGGGGGAGGGTGTGTAAGAGATTGGATCCCAAGAAATAAAGTGGAGAGAAGCTATAAAGGAAACAGATTTAAAAAAAAAAAAAAAAGACCCAAGCAGGGAGAGAGAAGGAAGAAAGGAGACCTCAGGAACAAAAGGACAGGTGCAGGCAGATGGAGCCTGGCCTCATAGTGCCAAATTAACGTATGGAAATCTTTTCCTTCCGGCACAACAATTATTCATTAAGCACCTGTTGTGATGCTTGTAGCTCTCCAACAGTTTATATAACAGTTTATCCCTCCAACTTCAGTGTCAAATTTGGAAATCTGTTTTCTCATTGAATTGTGAGGGTTTTGCACATGTGTGAGAAAGTGACTTGAGTTGAAATACAAAGTTGTTGAATGTCTTGATTTTCAGAAAATTTCCTAGAAAAGTCTTAATCGATTTGGCCACTGTGAAGAAAAAGTATCTTAAGCTAGGCATGGTGGCATGTGCTTTCAATCCTAGACCTCAGAGGTAGAGGCAGGGGGCTGTCTGTGAGTTCAAGACCAGTCTGGTCTACATAGTGAGTTCCAGCCCAGCCAGTGCTGCATAGCAAGACTTTAGCTCCGTTATTTTCTTTTAAACGGTTACTGAAGGGATGGCTTCAAAGTGAAAAGCACATATTACTCTTGCAAAAGACCATAGTTCAATTCCTAGCACCCACATAGGGTGGCTCACAACTTCCTATACCTCCTGCTCCAGGGGCTTCTGATACTTTTGGCTTCTTGGGACACTAGCAGTCATGTGCACATACCCACATACAAACATAGTTAAAATCAAAACCAAGTCTTTTAACAAGTACCTTCATAGTCCCCAAAGTTCCCAAGTGCTTTCTGTAGGAGGGTTGATAAAGACAGATTCTTTATTTAGCAGTGCTGGGGATTGAATACAGGGCCTTGCGCTTATGATATACATCCCCAGCCTTGAGAAGCAGGTTTTGAGATGAACATATAGGAATTAACCCTAAAGAAGGGGAGAGAAGGTATGATAACTGTTCTTGCTTGTCAACTTGACTACATCTGGAATTAACTAAAACCCAAGTGGCTGGGAACACTTGTGAAGGATTCTTTTTTCTTAATTAAATCATTAATGATGGGAAGATCCATCGTTTAATCTGGACCGTACCTTCTGGTGGCAGCCAGAATAACATAAAGGACACAGAGGAAGATTACTATCTCTGCCTGCTTGCTCTCACTAGCAAGTCCATTCCTTCATTAGCATGAGAACTTCTTCAAGAGTCTGCCATATACTGAAGACCAGCTGAGACATCCAGCCTTGTGGACTGAACAACTCCTGGATTCTTGGACCTCCTGTTGGTAGACAGCCATTGTTGGACTAGCTGGACCATGGCCTGTAAACCATTCTAATAAATACTGTATATACATATGTAAGTTCTGTTCTTCTTGACAACTCTGACTAATACAGAAGGGAAAGATGTAAGTTTGGGGGCAAGCATGAAGGTGAGCAGCAATGCAATCTCCACTGGCCCCACAGGACACCAGCTGTTGTGATCCCTCTGGGTTGTCTCACAACTCAGCAAGGAGGTCTGTCCTTTTATAGTTGACACTGCCCTTCGATGACCAGCTGCTCTCCTCTCCAAGGTCATGACCTTGGCTAAGGCAGCTTCTTTAAGCTCCTGGCTATCAACCAGCTGCCTCCCAAAGGATACTAAAAAAATCCCTCAGCTCTAGAAAGGATCAATACAACATAGAAAACATGGCATGGGTTTATCCTTGTTCTTTAATGGCTTTTGTCACATCTAATGATAATTTTTAGAGAAAATACTCATGATTCATAACTCCCATATTCAAAAATACCATTTAGTTAGCTTCCTGTTTCAAACTAATTTTCTTTCTTTCTTTACTTTTTCTTTTTTCTTTTTTCTTTTTTTTTTTTGTTTTTTTTTTTTTTTTTTTTTTTTGTTTTTCAAGACAGGGTTTCTCTGTGTAGCTTTGGAGCCTATCCTGGCACTTGCTCTGTAGACCAGGCTGGCCTCGAATTCACAGAGATCCACCTGCTTCTACCTCCTGGGATTAAAGGCATGTGCTGGGATTAAAGGTGTGTGCCACCAACCCCAGGCTTCAAACTAATTTTTTAAAAGCATATATGCTGCTGTGAACTCCTTTTCTAAAAATATTTATTTTATTTTTAATGTATGTTTGTGTATGTGTGTGTGTGTGTGAGAGAGAGAGAGAGAGAGAGAGAGAGAGAGAGAGAGAGAGAGAGAGAGAGAGCACAGGTGCCCATGAAGCCCAGAAGAGGTCATCAGAGTCCCTGGACCTGCAGTTAGACAGTTGTGCCTTTCCCTACTGGGGTGCTGGGAAAGGGACCCCAGTTTCCCTGTAAGAGCAGCACATGATCTTAACCACTGTGTCACCTCGTTAGCATCCATCCCCCTTCTTTTGGGACAGGATATCATGTAGGCCCAATTAGTCTTGAACTTAATATGTAGCCACAAATAAAATTGTACTTCTTTTTTTCTTTTCTTTCTTTCTTTTTTTTTTTTTTAATTTTTTGAGACAGGGTTTCTCTGTGTAGCTCTTATAGACCAGGCTGGCCTCAAACTCACAG